TGCACACCAAATACCAGAAAGTTTTCTTTGGGTTACTGCTGATTACTTACTTAAGACTACATGCAAATTTTAAGTCACTATAATTTTTCAAAAAACTCATGAATTGATTTAAAATTTTGCAGGTAGCTTTTTAATAGGAATCTACAATAACAAATTCAACATGCTAGCATTGTTTAAGCGTATAGCTTATACATCCTTAAACACGAGTGCGTTCGCAACTCGTAATTATGAAAGTTACAAGACCGCGAGTCGGAATCAGAGAGTTATATTCTAGTTTCGTGTAATTGTTATCTGAAGCGCGATGGAAAAGCCCATTTAAGACATTAATTAAAATCTCCCAATTAGCACGGATGCTACATACGTGCGATTTTATTTTAGAGAATTATTAATTGCATAGCGTGACTATTATAACTGCCAGCGCAGATTTCGTAGAAATAATTTGTACAACTCGGATCTCTAAATTTTTCACATGACAACAACGTGTTATTTCTCGTCATATCTAAAGCATATGTTATTTACATTTGAAAATCTGATAATCGAACTAACTATTCGTGCGTGTCGTTAAGTAGAGGTGGCTATGGATCGAGAGATAATTATTTACCGCATGAATTATTAATGCGATCAAGCGGAACTTGTCATATCTCGGGCGTGCTGTAATTGTCTCCTATTGTGTTCCTCTTTACACGATGTTATAAAAGGAGCATTAGTCACTGTAAGCCTCGAAAGCGATTGCCGCGTGTCAAACGCAGGTCGGACGCATAATTCACGTATTGCACGCTATTGTGTCTCCAAATCAATTTCTTCGATAGGGCACGGTTAGATCTAAAGGTATTCATCGCTGCTCATTTTCTTATCGGCATCCGTGCCGCGAGATAGCTTCTTAACGCTATTAAATATCAATCTAACGAACGGACAGACATTTATTACCACATTCTATATTTACGTAGACGGTTACTTAATTTGAATCCATAATTATTCATGATCGATTGCTAAAACGGGACACGTGCAAATGGTTGGGCAGAATTAAAAGTTGACGGCGGGAAGTGATGGATTTTATAACCGTGGCCTAACTGGAACGCCGCGCCGGTTCCGTGGGCGAATAGATCATCATGGAAATGACCGGCCAATTAGAAAGCTATGTTAATGATAAGTTTGTACGTTTGCACCTCGTTCGCTTTGAAAACCTCGTCGGGCATTAATACGATTTAGATTAGTGCCGCGGTGTAAAAACTTGTAACGACTCTACCATTCGTACGCGAACGAAAGTTGTTACAAGTTTACAGTTTGAATGGCTTCGCCCCTAGCGACGTGTGCGCATCGTTAGAGCTTATTACCTTCGGACAAATAATACAATGAAAACAATCTTTAGGGGATACATATATCTCTCAAATCTTTATTTCTCTCGCATCCTTTTGCACACGTACATTAAACTTTGATCTACTTAAAGAGTAAAGGTCACGGCCGACGGTATAAATCGAGGCCGATACCGGTGTTGGGTGTGTATCAGTACAGGGAACCCTTGTTCTCCTCTATTAAGAAGTAGATCGGCACGTCCCCGTAGGGTGTTTTCACGATCTCCTTGTGGTTGATCAGTATAATTGCTGACAGTCCGTACATTAACGTGGGTATACCTGATCGAACGGATAAGGAATATAAAATAACGAAATGATCAATTATCGGGGGCGACACGCCGCGCCGGGTTGGGACTCCGCTCGGTACTCGCTATTTACAGACTGAAAAAGCGTGAATGAAAAACGGGAGTCGTATCGGATTGTACAAGGACGACGAGGATGTATCGGCGCGGCGCGCGCGCGCTTCTCTTTTTTATTTTTCCGCTTTCATGCGAGGCGGATGGTATGCAGGACCGTGTATTTATACCAAAGTTGAAGAACTTGATTGCCCTGATCAGTTTGTCCTCGCGGCTAAGGTCCTTCCATGGCCTTTGGGTGCAGTGGTACTTAATGTACGGGAAGCAGCCGGTTCTAAGTACGTGGTAGTTGCAGTCGCCCACCTGCCAGTTGAAGTGAGACATCAGGCTCTGATCGTTGACCACGTCGGAGTACTTCACGAAATACGATGTCCATGGTGGCTTATTCGTTTGCACGAGGTAGCTCGTTAAGACCTGTTAGTACCGTAATGACACCGAGTTACTTCGTGTATCCTCTCGACTATCGGAAAGGAAACCTCGTCGATCGTCCACCGCTACCGTTACGCAGATTACGTTCGCGCGTACCCGCGCGGGACGCGCGAGCCTCGTTTAATCGAATTGTCATTCGACGCGAAGGAATCGAATGATAAGTCCGGCAATTAGACACGAGGTAACGCCTGTCGCGCGTGAACCGACGACTTCTCGGGATCTCATCGATTCGCGGAGTCGCGAGAATTCTCACGGTTGTCGATCGCGAACGGGAACGGAAATTCTTGGAAACGGCGGTCAGTTTTGCGCGACGGCGACGTAAGTACGCGCGTGATTGTCGGATCGATCGACGGGTAAAGAGATCGAACGTAAAAACGGGTACGAAACTTGCCTGGGACGCTAACGGCTTGGCTTTCTTGGAAACGGCCTTCGCCGAGGTACCATATGGACATGAGACAAGTGTCCTTTGAACGAGCGCTGCTCTCGGTATCATCGAAGCGGCTGATTCTTTACCCTTCTTTTTTTTCTGACAAACCTTCGATCGATCAGATCGTTCCGAGAAATCTCATTTCCCTTTTTGCCTCGCGGAGACCTCAATTTCTGTGTGAAAGTACCTGCAATCGAAGGATTCGTACAAGCTGGACTCTCTTCGATTGAACTTCACGATCTCGCGGGAAAGTGTGCTTGTAAGATAACCGATACGTGCACCTGCGACCTAGACAACTGTGCCGCAATGTGTGCCGTACACACAGGTAACTGCAGTGTCTATATGTAGAGTGCAGCGAACATACGAGACTACGACCAGCGGGCTTGTTAGAGTTTCTCGTACCACGACTACGTTCTACCTTTCTAAAATAAACCTGTACCGAGCTGCCCCGCGAAATGTCAAGGTTATCGAGGATCAGTCCGATCGGCTAACGGAAAATCATTTCAAAGTAGTTTTCGAAGTATGGTCGCGTTTTTTCGCGCTCGCCAAACCATGAAAAAGCGGTGTATTGTAATTGATTGTGCTGGCACCGTCGTTTATTCGCTGACTGATTACAGCTTTCAGTGATTAGTCAACCTTAGCGTAACGGTCTCTCATAACACCGTTTCAATGCTCCCTCGATATTTCGCTTTCCAGTTACATTGTATTATCGGTGTAAGATTTACAAACTCCTGTTTCTTCAACTATTTCTATTTCCATTTCAATTACTTCTAATAATTCTATAGAATTAGATAAATCGATTTCAATATAAAAAATGTACAAATTGCTTCGCGTTCTTTTTTTGAAATATAGCGGTTCGCTCGGCTTGCTATTATAGCGCTGTTATTCTCGTCGCATGCGCAAGGCATTCGGGCAGCCACTAGCGCAGCTAGCGCACTAGCAGCGTAGCGACGTACGCGTGATTTCGTCATCTACTTACCTCGAAATTCACGATTCTGTCGATCTTCCACCACGAATACTTTCTTCAAGTAGTATTTAACGTGTACGAGATTCTATGTATATATTATTCACTGACGACACACGCTTGGAAATCAAAAAACGAGCATGTATGTACCCAGAATGGACGACGGTATTCACGTGTCTGCTGGTCGGACTGGTTCTGGCGCTAGCGTCGAATCCATCGATCTTCTGCGGCGGGTTTCTTGAATGTTCTTCAGCTACATCGGATCGTATTTTAATATTTTATATAGACGCACCGAAGAAACCTCCTCGGTGATAAACGTATGGCATTGAGGAGATACTACTGAAGAGTTGCAGTGCCTGTGTAATCGTTGGCACAGCGAATGGGGCCCAATGGGGCTCAAAATACAATCGATGGTCGCGATTTTCGATAGAGTTAGACGAAAATAGCATAGATAGGGTCTTACTGGTATCTGACAATTGCAGCTACAACTTTTGTCTGAAACATTTTTTTGTATCGCCTATAGTTAACGAGTATGCTGCAATAAACTGTTTTTTCGTTTTTTGTGAATTAATAATTTTATAAACCTTACTCCTCTGTAATTATAATTTTTTCTAACAGTTTGTGGCTTCAAATATTGGGCACAGCTTTTTATTACATGTCTTAAACTTTTCATATATCGAGTGGAGTTAGAAGGAAATTGCATTGAACTTTTCTTGTATCTGACAGCTGTTCAGCACCGACGAGTGTTTAACTTTCTATTTTTTATTTCGGAGGCAATATATTCTAAAGAGCGTAAAAAATCGCCGGCTTTTTCGCTCGACATAAAGTTCCATTAGGCTGTCAACATTTAGCAATGTCTCCTCGGTATAGGAAAATCTGGGAAAATTGGAATGAAAAGAGAAAGATATTTCGGTTACATTATATATTTCATTATATTGGACCGTTAATCTTGGCAGCGTAACGGTATCGATAACACGTTTTCGTCGACGAAGTATAATTTAGCATTGCCCAGGATTGTTCATTCACGAGAGTAATACTGCGTTATACTCATGTTCGCATATATTAAAAGGAATAAAAGTCGTGTAGCATGTAAAGTACTTGCACGATCCGAACACTTGTACACAAGAGATTAAATTATTATCTGTGTTCTTATCTTAATCACTGGCCCACAGATATGTTTCATAATATGCATATCTTCTCCGTATCATACATATGTATTTCCTCCCGTTTTACTCATTCAGCGGACAAAAAATTTAATCGTAAACTCGTTTCGTAATTATCAATTTCTTAATCAGTTCCCTCTCCATCTGTTTCAGGTAAGCGATGTCCATAGATAGTGTTGCGAAACCAGTAGGTAAATAAATCATCGTTATTTTATCCCAACGGTATTCTAAATTGAATATGATCGACGGCGAATCTCGTTGACCTTCCGATTCTCGGCCTCCAACTTAGACCCATAGAATATAGTTTGAGCGCGACCGCGCACCACACCCAGGATCGTTTACGCGTATAACGTATCGCGGCGCGTACGCCGCGTTATAAATTACCAGCGATTTTTGTTAACGGCTGACTCGAGTTACATTTATTTACATAACTACGGTCACGCCGGGTCCTGTGCATTAACAAGCGACTTTACTAAACAGCCGGCCGTCGTCGTCGCATTATCGAGGGGAGGGTACGCGACACGAGCCCTCTACGTACTCTTAAGAACACGTAAAGGAGCGTCGTTGTCATATTGGATTACGTTGATGTGCTAATCCGGCTCGGGGAACAGGAGACTCTTACCTCGTCGCAGGTACACATGGTCTACAGTTACATCACGGTTTAATTTTTGCGCAATCACATATCGAACGTGTTGAAAACGAGCCCAAGTCGATTAAGCATTTTTATAATTAAACAAACAGCTTATTTGTTGCAGTAACGATACTGAATTCATGACGCAGCATGATGTCTCAATTTATTATCTTGTATAAAACATTCTGTTGATTAAAAAAAGTATTTGTTTTATAAAAAAAAGTAGACGGAAGGTAAACGCCACTCTGCGATGATTTCGTATTTAAAACGAATAGTCGTATTAAAGCCGTTCGTGCTTCTTACGGGCCCGTAATTACATCCGAGGATTCATTTCCGCGGAGGATGGCTCGTTGGAGAAATTCTGCGGAAACGCGATCTCGGCCGCGTCGGGTTGTATTTCTGGAACACTCTATTTGCGCGTATTTACGCCTATCTGAATGGATATACATATTCTTATGCAATAAGCGGCGTGGATGCTCACGCAGAGATGGGAGCGCGTGAGCTTGCACACGAGTGGCCGCGCGAAAAAGGTGTCCGCTGCCATGGATGAGAGCCAGGCAAGTTGCTTATTTTGATGGGAGTCTACGATTTCCGCGAGATAAATGATGCAATGGCTATTCGGGCTCGTTGCGTCGGGCTCGCTTCTTCGTTATGCACGACGCATGTTCGTACACGAGCTCGCGCATAATCGTGCGGAATTTAAAATCGCGACCACCGATCGTCGGCGCCGGTTAACGGGATCTCAAAAAGGGCGTCGCTGTCTCTGACATCATTTCGTAGAATCATGAACGTCGATTTTGTACTAATTTTTCAGACCAGTTTTTAAAAGAATGTAAAAGCGCGTGTCCATTTTGTTACATCGTATCGTATAAACTGTCTTATATTCTTGTACACAAATCATGATTATTTTAATCAAATCGTATTTCAAGTAAAAGGATAGAAAAAATTTTTTGGACAATGATTTCAATAAAAAATGACCATGTTATTTGTTGTAAATTATATAACAGAAGATACAAGCCGGTTTTAAAAGACTTTTAGCAGAGCAGTAAAAATGTGTGTTTTCTTTTGACCAACGTTACTGTGCTTCGTATAAAATAAATTCGTACTTTGGACATAGGAGTGATATCGAACATCGCATGAATCCGTTTGATACTAGCGTATCTCTAGTTATAAATTGCGTCGAGCTGGTCGTTTCTTCGGACAATCGATTGCCGATAAGGTAACGAATGTTGCGGAGGGTTCGGCAGTCCGCGCGTACATTATTAGAGACGTGGCAGGTTCATGGCGTAGATAAATTGCGCAACGAGGGCTTTAGATGCTCTCTTCTTATCGTAATACACTCCTATTTGTAATATCTCAGTTGGACCGTTTCGTTAAATCAATGGTGAAAAATATATTTGCATCGAGACACTAATTATTATTTGCGTCACAGGGGATGTTAAACTGTCCACGCTTCGAAACTTGATAAAAGTTCTAGTCAACAAGTATTACATACAACTTGTTCAATGACTTAGTGATGACAGTATAAAGGATACGATCTGAAACTGAGATTCTTAGCAAGTTTATTGAGAATTTCGACAGACTGTTAACATTTTGTAGAACTGCCAAGCTTTCCAGAGAATTACTCTATCAAACTTCGAATGACTTCACTAGTTACCGAGTGTCCTACCATAGAAGGATGTATTGTAATCCTACGAACGGTATTCACTCCTGTACAATGTATTTCACGTTTAACCAGAACTGGTTTAATACAATTTAGTCTATGCTGTGTGGTTCGTTTGTTTCAATTATGGATGACCCATTGGGATTGAAATTGACTATAATTTATCTGGCTGATGTTACTCCTAGCCAACCATTAGAACCCAGCTTGAGGTACTTATACATCCGTATGACTATCCTTTTCGAGCTTTCACCAGGATTAAGAACACAAATTCGTTTCTAGTTCCTTTCCTCGTTTATTACACCGAGCCCATGAATTACCATGTCCGTTTGTGCTTTCTAACGATTATATCCAAGCAGTTCGTTCTACGGTGTTCACTTTTCAGTGGAACTATACACGCCCCGAAGGGTCAGATGCGCATTACCATAATTTAAAGTCTACGCGGGAAGCGACCGGGGACGAAAGAGGGGGGGGGGGGTAACAGTTTTACGAACTTGTTTAAGAGTTTTGAGATTCCCATGCGGTGCGAAACAAAATTTTATGCGTGGAACTGCTTCGTTCCCCAGTGCGTCGTTTGGCCCTGTGTGGCCCAAGCAAAACAACATTTTTTGATACGTTGTTTAATGTAGCATTACGGTAGTACCAGTTTTATGTTCTTATAATATTTTCACTCAGAAAATAAATGAAAGACACAAAGTGTGGATGGCTTTTAGTAGAAATATCGCGTTTACACAAGGTAATGAAATTTGTTAGCAACGGTTTAATGACGACTCTCCTATGGTCCGCCTCGCCGGTTTAATTATTTTTATTGCTCGTTGCTGCGGTGTATCGTGAACAGTTCGTGGTTCGCGGTTACACGTCGCAGGAAAGAGTCGCAGACAGATTTAGTTTCTATCTCGGGACCTCGCCTTTTCTATCCGACTATCCCTTTGTGCCACGCTTGCTCTCTCTCTCTCCGTTCGCACAGGAAGAAGCCAAGAGCAAAACGCAAAATATACTGTTTCTTAAGTATAACTTCGCGAAACTCAGCCAGCCGAACTCTCTCACGATTCTCAGCGAATCGTTACCTTCCGGTCCGATGGACCGAGTCGATGTTTCAGTTAATATAAGAAACGAAAAGCGATAAGAAAATAATGTGACAATCGAATCTGCGTGCAATTTCTAAAGTCATATCAAAATGTTTTATTTTATATAAAAATCAATAGTCTATAAACAAAATTTCTCCATACAATTTTCATTGCTACTAAATAATAATTAAATCTGCAATTACTTTAAGTGAAGAAACTCGTTGCTTCATTTAAAGTGAAACGATTTCACAGATACAATTAGCTTTTACTATTCGGTTAAGGAATCTATCTAGGCGATTGACTTGACGCCATAAAGAAGCGTTAACGGTCGTTCGCACGCTTAGCTCGAATGCAGGATTATATGGGCGATGCGCGTCGCTTGATCGAAAAGCGAGCTCTAAACAGCGAAGAGAAAGGCCGTAACGTTGTTACGTACGGCACGGTTTCCATTTGCCGTATTAATACCCATTGTCTTCGCCGTCTTCCTCTCATTATCGACGTTATTCCGTCGCGTGATTGCCGGATCGGTATGCCGGGTCTCCCTGGAGCTCCTTTCCTAGCTGTTGAGAGGCGGACACCTTTTTAATCGTTCCGAATAGGCGATACCGTAAACGAAACTCAGCTAGACACTTGGATAATTACTCGTCGCCGCGTTAAGCGTCTGCCCGCGTCCTCGTGTTTCTGCACGTGCGAATTCC